TCTGGCTCCTTTAAAAAAAAAAAAAAAACCCAAAAAACAGTACTCCCAAAGTAAGGGACTGGCTTTACTTTTTCTGAACTATGACAAACACTGTGGATGGTAGAGATGTCTTTTTTCCCCCTTTTATTCCTTTTAACTTTCTTTGAGGAACCAAGGCTGCTATGTTTCATGAAGCAGCATGTGTGCACTCCTTATTGCTATTCCTAATCCAGCTCCATCAATTTTATGGTTTGTGGAAATTCCCTATAAAGTTGCTGCTCTTGGTGACTTTTCTTTAACTCTTAGTCTTTCATTTTTAGGGTCATGTGGATTTTTGACGTTGTCAGTGTTTTCCTAGGTATCTATTGAAAGGTTGAAAGAGCCCTGTGTAAGGGTCGTGACTTGGAGACATTTTATTTTTTAAAAAGTTTATTTGTTTATTTTGAGAGAGAGAGAAAGAGAGCATGCGAGCGGAGGATGGGCAGACAGAGAAGGAGAATTCCAGCAGTCTCCTCCCTGTCAGTACAGAGCCTGATGCGGGTCTCAGTCTCACCAACCATGAGATCATGACCTGAGCTGAAACCAAGAGTCAGACACTCAACTGACTGAGCCTCCAAGGCACCCCATGACTTGGAGACATTTTAGTTCCATCTTTTAAAAGTGCAGTTTGATCACTGAAGAAATCTATATAAAGGAGTAAGGAGAATCTAGGAAAACAGTCTTGAATGCTGATGTTCCTAACCTTTTTATAAGGTTGTATGTAAATAGCTAGGTAGCTTTTTACGAAGCCTCCTGTTATTGTATTTTAGCTGATTTATTTATCATCTATCGGTCTATTTACCTATCTATATTTGTTTATTATATTTTAGCTGATCTATATTAGTGTAGAAGGGATGCTGGGCTGGAGTAAGGCTAGCTGAAGTTCAGGCCAGATCTGGTACTATTTCCCTGTATACAGTGATTCACATTAATTTTAAAAGTGAAAAAAAAAAATTGGGGCGCCTGAGTGGCTCAGTCGGTTAAGCATCCGACCTCGGCCATGATCTTGCAGTTCACGAGTTCGAGGCCCATGTTGGGCTCTGTGCTGACAGCTCAGAGCCTGGAGCCCGCTTTGGATTCTGTGTCTCCCTCTCTCTTTGCCCATCTCCCACTCATACTGTCTCTCTCTGTGTCAAAAATTAGTAAAACAGTAAAAAAAAGTGAAAAAAATTAAAAAGTAAAATGAATCAAGTAACTTATTTTAGACAAGCCAGTAAACCTCTGCATCAGTTTCTTTATTTATAAAGTTAGGGGGAAATCTATAATATTTATAAATTACTTTATACATGTTTAATTTCACAACATTGTAAAACCAAGTTATTCTACTAATAATTGAGACCTGGTGAGTTCATAAAGAAGCTAGGGCAAAATTTCTGACCTAATCAACCTTGAATTCAATGTACATTGATTTTCAGTTTTGATTTTTAACAAACTCCCTATTTGTAAGTAAGTATTGGTGTTTCTATCCCATTTTTGGCAGAGGCATTTTCACTTAAAGAAAATTTTGCAATCAGCATTTATTGAAAATAGTGTGCTTGTGTTGAAGCATTTTTCTACCATAGGTGGCTGACACTGATGGATCTTTTTTCATCCATATTTTAGTGAGTGCCCTAGGTTAGTTATGATTTTCCAGACTTCAAAGAGAGCAGACAAACCAAAATATTGGGACTGTGAGGTATGTTCAGGGACAAAGACATTTTGTCAACTCTGTGATTATGCTTTGCTTGACCTTTTTGTGAAGTGGGGTGAGGAGTACTCTGAGAATGACTCACTGGTCGTTCACCTCAGAGGGCATCTGGGCCTTAGTCACTCTAGGACTTCACAGAGAAAAGGTATCAAACTCATATCCTTTGACTTTGAAGGAATAGTCTTTTTGTAATTCGATTTAGGTCAGCATTTCGAACCTGGCCATTTTACATGGAGTATTTTATTTAAATTTCACAATAGTCTCTGAAATGTAGGTTTTGCTATCTATGTTATAGATGAGGAGATACCTCCCTAAGACTAAAGGAGAGTATGCAAATTGCCCTATGTCATATACTTAATTAGTGGTAAAGATTCCATCTATAATTTTTCTGACTCCAAGTTCATGCTTGTAAACATCATGTTGAGTCTATCAGTTAGGATTCAGTTCTTCTGCATGTTAACAGTAACCTAACTACAATTGCATTACTAAATAGAGCTTTAATTACTGCACATAACAAGCAGTACACCATTAATATGCAGATACTTAAGAAAATCAAGCTCCTTCTAGCTTCCTTTTCTTCCATTGTTTGTATTGGACTTTCATCCTCATTGTTGCAAGACAGCTGCTCAACCTTCTGGTGTCATGTATGTATTCCAAGCAGGAGGGAAAGGATGAGCAAAGGAGAAAAAAAAAAAATCACCTGCTATCTAAATTTAATCTTCTTCTTCTTCTTTTAAAAAATTTTTAATGTTTATTTATTTTTGAAGGAGAGAGAGACAGAGTGTGAGCAGGGGAGGGGCAGAAGAGTGGGGGACACAGAATCCAAAGCAGGCTCCAGGCTCAGAGCTGTCAGCACAGAGCCCAATGCGGGGCTCGAACCCATAAGCTGTGAGATCATGACCTGAGCTGAAGTCAGATGCCCAAACTGACTGAGCTACCCAGGTGCCCCTATCTTTTTCTTCAGCAGAAAAATAATAGCTTACCTGGAAGCCTTTCATAATACACTTCCATTTGTATCTCATTTAGCCTTAAATCTACATTTATGGCTATTCCAAGCTTCAAGAGAATGTGGGGATTCATATTTTAAGTCAAAATTTATTAAAATATAATTTACATACAGTAACACTCACACATTTTATGTATACAGATCTATGGCTTTTGATCAAATACATACACCTGTGCATTCACAATCACGATTATAGAATATTTCCATTTTGAGGAGCAGTGTTAACTGAGCATTTTGCCATCTTGAACAAAACTGAGGTTTAGTTCTGAAAAGAAGGAACAGACAATATTAGGTAGGCAGCATTGTCATACTAAGGTTAAATTTTTCATTGAGGAAAAATTGACATATAATGTTGTATTAGTGTCAGGTGTACAACATAATGATTCAGTGTTTGTGTATGTTGTCAAATGATCACCACAATGTCTAGTTTCTGTGTACTTAAATAATGGTTTGGAACAGCAGTAGAGGAATACCCATAAGTGAAAGAAGACTGTAGTTATCATTAACCTAGCTTGAAACAGGAACTTGGGTAAATCTCCAGATCTATTTATGTCTCAATTTTCTAATATTTAAAAGAAAAGCTTTCAAAAAGATCTTGAATGTATCAAAAAGTGGGGTTCAATGAGTGAGATAATTTATGTGAAAGCATACTGAGATCTGTAAAGCTCTATCCAAATATAAAGAATTGTCTTTTCGCCCACGATTAGAGGTGTTTCCTTTTATAATGATGATGAACTTGACTTACTGGCCTGAAATATCACAGTTGTGAAATTCAAATGTAATTGTAAAATATACTAACTCTTTAATTTATCAGTGGCTTAGGAATCAAGACAATATGCAGCTCTAGGTAGAGTCAATTTCACATTTTCATTCTTACCAGTTCTCTTTCCAACTATATCTTTTTCAATTGGGTAAAAATAGCACTAAATGTATAATTTCCTGAACCTATCAAGTATATGTACATTTATAACTAATAAATTGTTGTGTGACTTTTTAGTTATTATTTAATATTTTAAAGATAAATCTTGACAGTCTTCTAATCAAACTGAAATATAGATTTTGAGAAATTATACTTTTTGTAAAATCAAATAATCTGAACTGTTGGAGTGTTTAGGAAGACCATTTTTAAATTTGTTCTCTTTTTGTTTTAGAGGAAAACACTTTTTAAATTCACCTCTTGGAATCAGGTGTAAAAAGTTAAAAATCAAAATCTATTATGACACTTGGGGGATACTCTAGAATCAGACCTCTTGATTGCTTGTTATGCAGGATCTATGAAGAAATGTGATCTTTTGTAGTATTTATTACTCTCAGAGTTTTGACATAACACTCCTCTGAATGTGAATATCTTTCAAAATGTGGCTCTTTCCTATAGACTTTAATCATGACTAGTGTCAACCAATACTGGCCTTTATTAAAAGTAAATGTATCTGATAACCTGGGATACTCATTATCTCTGGCCAATTACTCTCTTCATTAAAAAATTGTTTATTATTATTTTAATTAAGGTCTTTGTTGTTTTGTTCACCAAATTCCTAGGTTGGATTCAACACTGGCTTTGCTGGTCCTTGGGGAGGCTGCCAAATTAAACATGGCCTGCTTGAAAGCTTTAATGGAATTAATGAGAGATTTTCTTTTAAGCATTATGTCTGTTCAAAATCAGGTAACAGTATGTTGTTGATTTATGTGTGCTAAAAGACCTGAAGAAAAACAAATTTTATTTTTGTCACTATTTAAATTGAATATAATATTAGGGGTTATAATGAGCATAAATTTTTAACAAAATTTTTAATTAAATATAAAAGTAAATGCACATTTACCATATATCCCACTATGGATAGGTAGACAGATGGGTATAGTTAAAGATGTAGAGGTACGGAAATAGATTACACACACACACACACACACACACACGAGAGGGACTTTATTTTTTTTAATTTTTATGTATTTTGAGAGAGAGAGAGATTGAACATGGGGGAGAGGCGAGAGAGTGGGGAGAGAAAAAGAATCTCAAGTAGACTCCACGCTCAGTGCAGAACCCAATACTGGGCTTGATCTCATGACTGTGAGATCATGACGTGCGCCGAAATCAAGAGTCAGACACTCAACTGACTGAGCCACCCAGGCTTCCTTACATGAGAGGAACTTTAAATTGTATTAACAAACTTGAGAACATATAGTCATACATGGTTTAGTTTCCTTTTTTAGAAAATTTAAAGTATATTACAAAAAACACTTTTTATTGTAATTACATATTGTTAAAACTTACATTTTAGTCTGCATGAGATAACTTAACAATTTCTTCATTGTTGAACAGTGAGTTTGTTTCTAATTATTCACAGTTAATTGCAAACAATATTGAACTGGTAAATCTCATGAATAAAATCTTTATCTGTGTTTATGACTATTTCTTCAGAATAGATTCATAAATTACTGAGTGATAGACTATGAACTTTCTTTTAATAATCTCAGAAAAGATGTTCAAATTCCTCTCCAGAAGATATAACTGTCTTGCTTTCCTATGAAAAATGTATAAAGTGCCACACATAAGAACTGAGCTTTATATAAAAATATATTCTTTTATAATATGATATGGAAAATGCTATCTCAGGGGATTAATTTACATTCTATTGATTACCAAGGAAATTGAAAAGTTGTTCTTTATAAACTTTTTAGATATTTGTAGTTTTTATTCCTTGAAGTAGATTTTATGCAATCTACCCACAGAAAACCTGTTTTTCAATTGAGTACATTTTAGAAATATTAGTTGGTGATGGTCTTTAACAGCTCTGTAAAATTTGAAGATATTTCTTACCATGAGTACAGTATGTAGTTTTAATTATGACAGAGCGTATCTTGATTATCTAATAACTATTTTCTCATTTTAGGAAGAAAGCTGCAAGGTAGATGATGTTTCCTGGGCCTGGAATGTCATCTACATATACACAACAATTCTTGCAGAAATTTGCTTGTATGCAGCCACTTCTAATTTGCGAAAAACTGCTTTTATTGGTTTCTGTGTCTGTACAAGATCACAAGAAGACATTTTACTCATGGATAAATCAGAAGAACCACCTAAATGGAAGGAAGCAAGTATTTTAGGTCTTTTGGACTATTTCTCTTCAAAAATGTCAGATAATTGTAAGTAAATTATTTCTCAACTTGTTGAGAAGCACTTCTTAAATGTCTCTATCTGCATATAGCAATAAGTATTTTATATTTTATTTTATTTTATTTTATTTTATATTTTTACAATATAGTGTTTTATTAGTTTCAGGTATATAATATAATGATTCAACAATTCCATACATCACCCAGTGCTTATCACAAGTGTGCCCCTTAATCTCCATCACCTATTTAATTCACCCTCACAACAATCTCCCTTCTGGTAACCATCAGTTTGATCTCTATACTGAGAGTCTGTTTTGTGGGTTTTTTTTTCTCTCTCTCCCTTTTTCCTTTGCTCGTTTTTTTGTTTTTTTTTTTTTTTTGTTTGTTTGTTTCTTAAATTCCACATGAGTAAAATCATATGCTATTTGTCTTCCTCTGACTTATTTCACTTAGCATTATACACTCTAGCTCCATCCATGTCATTGCAAATGGTAACATTTCATTCTTTCTTATGACGGAATAGGAATAATATGTATATATACCACATATTCTTTATCCATTCATCTATTGATGGACATTTGGCTGCTTCCATAATTTGGCTATTGCAAATAATGCTGCTATAAACATAGCATGTAACCCTTTGAATTAGTGTTTTTATATTTTTTGGGTAAATACCCAGCATTGCAATTATTGGATTGTGTGGTAGTTCTGTTTTTAACTTTTTTTTTAACGTTTATTCATTTTTGAGAGACAGAGAGAGACAGAGGTTGAGTGGGAGAGGGGCAGGGAGAGAGGCAGACACAGAATCCGAAGCAGGCTCCAGGCTCCATGCTGTCAGCACAGAGTCCCAATGTGGGGCTCGAACCCACAAACCACAAGGTCATGACCTGAGCTGAAGTCAGACGCTTAACTGATTGAGCCACCCAGGCACCCAAAATTTTCTTCATCTTTGTCAGAACCAGAGAATGTACACCCTCTGGAAATAAACATTTGATCTCCTCCTCATGTTCATACAGGATTTTTGGCTTTCCTGTATCAGTCATTACCATATGTTCCTTTGCTTTACATGATGGTACAAATGCCTAGTCAACTATTTTTACCATCAAATGATAGGTTTTAAAAACTGTGTTGATGTGATTCATTATACCTTGATTCTTACAGCATCACTGATTGATTTTTCCACATGAGGAAAATGATTTTGTCTGGGTTGTCCTGTATCATTGATAATGATCACCAGTTTTGTAAGACCACAGAAGAAAAAGCTCCAAAAGTAGTATAATCTGTGCAGGCATTGTCAAATGATTACTGGGGAAAATAGGTTTGTCTTTTTTGGAAAGTGACTTAAAGAACCTGGAGCTGTTGCTGTATTTAATTGAAAATGATTTTTTCCCATACTTTTATCTTTCAAGTAAGTAAATTTTTTGTTTAGAGTGAGAGAACTGGTCAGAAGTCACACAGATTTGTATTTTAATTCTATAATTTGTATCTTGGAATCCTACATCAAATTATTTAATTTTTCTGAATGATTACTCGATAATTATGATAAGACTACTATTCATATCATAACACTTTTTATAAGAAAAAAATATAGAAACATATAAATGCGTGGCATAGTACATTGTGCATAGGAAAGGTTCAATAAAGGTTAATAGTTGTTATGGTTGTTAATGTAGTTGTTAATATTATAGTGAGAAAACATCAGTGAGGAGGGATTTTTTTTCCTAACACTTAGTACTATGTACACTTTATATCCTGGGGATGCTGTTTTATTTATATATAAAGATATAAATGACAGTGAAAAATATTTTAAATGGTATATATAATATATAAATAGTCTTTTTACTAATAAGTCAAATCGTGTTATCAAGGCTTTAATAGGAAAAAACCTCAAATCATAGTTGTATAAAGGCAATGTTATAGGACACTAAAATAATAATTTCCTTGAAGATAATTTCCTGGTGATCTCATCTGATATGGGAGCAGAACTTAAAGAATCTAGAAGAATGACTATTAAGCATGTTCCATTTTCATTCTGTGATTTTGTGTCACACAAGCTTTTCATAGAATCAGACATGTAATAAGTCTAGAGTGAGGTCTCTGGCCAGTGATTGAAGTGCTGCCTTTTAGTTGATTGAATAGAAATTTCTATGTATGCTTATAAATACCAATTGTACATTTAACATTTGCCACTGTGGACGTAACTGTGTCCCCCAAAATTCGTATCTTGAAACCATAGCCCACAATGTGACTGTATGTGGAGATGAAATAATGATGGTGGGGCCTGATATGTTTGAATTTGTGTCCTTGTAAGAAAAGACACCAGAGAGCTCACTCTCTCTACTATGGGAGGACACAGTAAGAAAGCAGCCGTCTAAAACCCAGGAAAAGAGCCCTCACCATAAACAGAATCAGCTGGCACCTTGATCTTGGAAATCCTAGCCAAGGATTTGGCTAGAAAAGAAATAAATTTCCCATCTTTAAGACTCTCAGTCCACGGTTTTTTGTTATGGCAGTTCAGTTATGCCTCCCAATGGGTGTTGTGCTGTAGGCAGATCTGAATATGCTCAGGTGCCTGACTAATCCTTATCTGAAACACAAATTTTTGCAACAGAGACTCCATTTTATTTATTTGCTTGTTTGCTTATAAGTTTTTAATTCCACTTAGTTAACATAGTGTTATGTTTGTTTTGGGTGTACAATATAGTGGCAGCATAGTCTCTAGATGAGACAGTTTTGAGCTGGAAAAACATGAGGGAAGGTGATAAAAATTAATTTATTTAAATGCACAGAATTTTTGCTTGATCCCTGTTGAAATTCCAGTTTTGGGAATCATTTGGCCTTGATGGGTCATAAAGGATGATAATAGTTAATTAACATTTATTGAGCTCTTACTATATGTCAGGTATTATTCTAGGCTAATTCATTAATCATTACAACGAGACTCTACTTAGATATTCATATAATCCTCAATTTACAGATGAGAAAACTGAAACATGAAGAGTTTATTTGTCCAAGGAAATATATTTAGGAAACCGTACATCTGGGACTTAACCCAGGCAGTCTGGCTTCAGAGTCCATACTGACTACCTCACTATGCTGAACTAAGTAGGTTAGTTGACCTGCTGAATGAAAAATTTTAAAAATCATCCATTTGCATGTTGAAGAATGTGAAGAAGACGGCTGTGAGAAATTCTGACAGTCATTATCCTACAGCACTGTGTGTAAAAGCATTTTCATAGACTTTGTGTCATGTGTGGTCTTTATTTCTAATCTGAATTCTTAGGACTTGTTCTAAAATTTTGAATCAAAAAATCCTAAAACTGGAGTGTAGGAATCTGTATTATTAAGCCTACAGAAAACCTAACCTATAAATTTAGCTGTTAAACAAGCTGCTAAAATGCTGTCCTAATCATAGAGGAAAATATCTCTCTTACTTGTTATTGCAGACCTTTATGCATCCAATTGGAGGCTATTTATGTCAGGTGATTTATATATAATTTTACAAAGAGGGAAACATAGCTTTGTGTTGTACTGTATATTTTAAACACCATCTTCTGTGCTCCTACTTTGGTTTTCAGAGTGTTAAAATGATAGTTTTTTTTTTTTTTTTAATTCATGTTAGTTAACATATGATAAAATGAGAAGCTTTTAACAAGCCTTGATTATCTGGAATATGTGTTGTGAAATTAACACCTGAAAATGGTGTATTCTGTGAGAAACCTTCAGACACCGATTTAGTGTGTCTTGTCTAAGAAACATAAAATGAATGAAAGAATCAAATATATCATAGAAAAGTAATTCTGTCTCTCTCTGTCCCTTCCCTGCTCGTACTTTCTCTCTCTCTTTCAAAATAAATAAATAGACATTTAAAAAGAAAAGAAAAAAAAGTCAGCAGTGATCTGGAACTCCCTATCTACCAAAGCAGGTCATTCCACTTTTAAACACTGTAAACAATTCATCCTTATATTAAAATGAAATCTATTTTTCTAACTTTGGTTTAGGTTTTGCCTCCTGGAGGCAATAAGAAAAAAAAAGTCTATTGCATTTCCCACATGCAAGCCCTTCAAATATTTGAAGATAATTGCATTGGTTCTCTTTCTCCACCTCTTCACTTTGCCATCATCTCCCATCTCTGCTTACTGCCAAGGTCCTGTGCAAACTTTTCGTAATACATGAAAAACGTATTTCCAATATGGCTTATAATTAGCCTCTTAAGTTTGCTAGGAGGTCATAATGTTGTTAACTTAGAATTTGTAATAATTTATTCCAGTGTATAATATGATGGGAGACCCAAGTATTTTTTCATTCAATGTTGTCTATGAATGAAAGAAAGTAAATATGACATTCTTCTTTTCATTCTTCTGTTGAGAATTATTTTCTTAATCTGGTTATGCAATGATAGTGGTAAATGAAATATAGGTCTCAGTTGTAAAATAACTTTTTATGCTATATTTTGATTCATTTTAACTTGGTTTTGAAAAAACATTAGCACAGAGCAATAATTCCTTTTTAAAAAGCAAATGTAAGTGAATTGGAATCTTAGAAACAATTGAAACTCTTAATGGTACTGTATTAAATCTTCAGCATAACTTTTACCTTGGTGAAGGCTATTCAGAAAAGTATACAGTAACAAGGGTGTATTTATTATACATGGAAAATATTTAACTCCTTTAAAAATCTACATTCATGTTAGTGATAGAATTCAGGCAATCTTCTTAATTCACAACTTTTTGTGTTGACAAATCTAAAATTACCACCGAGTATTTTATATATATATGGAAGTTAACCAAATGTATCTATTTGTCATTTTCTTTTTTAAAAATAATTTTATTGTGGAAAGAGCACTTTACATGAGATCTACCCTCTTAAAAATTTAAATGTACAGTTCATTATTGTTGACTCTGGGTACATTGCTGTACAATAGATTTCTAGAACTTACCTTGTTTTTTTTTAAAAAAATTTTTAAATGTTTATTTATTTTTGAGAGACAGACAGAACATGAGCGGGGGAGGGGCAGAGAGAGAGGGAGA